TTTGTGCCCTGGGGTGCCAGGTTGTACATTTGGGTTTTGTGGGTTGAGACCAATTGCTTGTCTGTGTAGTCGTGCTTATTGTATTATTTTATTAAATTGTTATTCTGACTTGCAATCTCTCTTTTGAGTTGAGTTCATTTCCCCTGCTGGTTAACTTTTAAACCAGCACAGTGAGAAAACAATTTTTATGGGAACATGACGACTGGTTACACAAGCAGGTAATGTTTAGCAGTATGATTCCCACAGATAAAGAAAAATTCCTTTTAATATGTAAAATAGCCTTGCTTTCATTGTCATCCTTTTGAAATCATAATTACTGGAATCACAGCAATGAAAAAATTAACAAACATCTAGGGCATTTGCACAGCTATGGAGCTTGGCACAAAGCATGAATATGGACGCTGAGGTTAGCAATAGGCTAATTTGGGAGATATTTGTAGCACCTAAACATCATCCCCTAGCTGAGGTGTTATGCATGAATTAGGTTGATATTTGTAAACTGCCGTGGGAAGTGAACAGAACTAGAAAGAAGCTTCTCCACAGGACGCTGCAGATCAGAGGTTTGTGTTTAGGTCATCTCACACATAATCCAGGAGGCTACTGGTTTAAGACTCATGTCCTACTCATAGCTGTAGTCTCACACCAGTAACTGGTTCTGTTGCACTGGATTGCATTGTAGCCAGTTGATATTTACGCTGGTATGAAATCAGGATCAGATCCTGTTAAGGTAAGAAAAAAAACTGACCAAGCAATCCTGCAATTTGCCCTGAAATTATCTATGATATGACTATGCTAATGAAAGGCACACCAGGATCAATGGAGTCCAAACAAATTCATAATTGAGAAAACATTAATTAATTAATTAATAATTAAGTTATTGCACATCAGAAACGACAGGAGAGGAAATCTAGGCAGAATTTTGGAGGGTGGAGTGGATTTATCCCATTCACAACAGCATTTAAATTAGATTGTCTGTGCTTCCTTGCAACCTATATTGTGTACTTTACACAGAGTTATTTGCAAAGCAAAGAAGGAACTGAACATCATTGTACTAAAACACCCAGGTGTTTGCAGTGATGACATCTTTGTGATCTCTTGGAAGGGTGCTGCTGTAGCCCCTGTAATAAGTTCTCTAACAATTCTAAATTTTGGTATCTAAGGTTTCAAAAAATTTTCTGTGACCCTTCTGTACATTATGAAAACTGTTAGAAAAAAACATATTAAATGGGAAAGCCTATAGTTAAAAAAAAAAAATAATAAAGGAAAATCTTGCCCAGAGGCTAAGGAGTTCCATATGAAAATTCAGCATAGATGTCATCTTATTTCATAATAAAATCAGTTAGATCATTTGACAAATGAAATTACTGTTACCAGTTAAAAAAAAAAAAAATAAAAAATGGTATTGTGGGTTTTTTCTCCAGCCAAATTGATTTTCACAAAATTCTTTGTCCATGTTTACTGTTGGAGCTATAAAGGTTAGTGGCAAGATCTGACCATTAAGGTGTCTCCCATTAGAGGCAACATAAAAAAAGCAAAAAAACTTACTTTACTGCTGTGTGAGCTGTCTGTAAGGATGGCTATCATAACAGCCAGCATATGTAGTTGAACTCGGTGCATGCCATATAAGCATAGCACAGCTACCTCCAGTACCTCTGTCACATTGTTTCATTTGCAAAGAAACCAAACAGAAAGGGCTACGTGAAGAGATGAATAACAGTCTTAAATATGTGGGCATAGATATATGAGCTACAGTCTGCATAGGACTATCTTGCTGCCAGACTCTAGAGCAGAAATACATCTTTGCTGAATTCTTCATATACCACTACAAGTGTCTCCTTGATTCCCTCAAGCAGCCTGCCTTCAACCTCACAAGTATTTTTATTCAATGTCTAAGTCTACTTTGCCACACTTGCACTTCAGGAAGGCATGACACCCTGTTCTTCTACCTTCACACTTCATAAGCCTAGACTTTTCAAATCATGGTAAAATTTAAATGGTTTCAAGACGTTCAAGTTTTAAACTCTGCAGATTTTTTCTCCTTTCAGAATAAATCCAACAATGATCATAGCAACTCAAATTTATGAAGGCATATTCCAGACATTCTTTAATGCCATTGTCTGGCTCCAAAAAAGCATGCATTTTCTTAATATTACGGAGAACCTACTGTTGCCAAGTGTACAGAAGAGCTCAAAGCCTGTACTAACATCCGGAATGGTGCCCAGCTTCTCTAGAAACTGAGTCCCAAGTCCTCAGATAGCAAAGTGGTCCAAGCAGTTAAGTGTGGAGGATTGCAGCCTCTCTTTTCTTACTTTCTTAATTGCACAAACACCGTCAAAATTTAGCCAACTTTATTTTATATTCTTTTAATACTCAAATATGAACTGATGCTTTTCTATTTTTCTCCAAGAGGATTAAAACAGTAGACATTAAGTAGCAGTGAAAAATGGACCATAAATGTCTTCACATAAAAGAATTCTTTAGCAAAATATTTAATTATCCAGTGAAAGGAGAACATTCAGCAGCATAAGTCCTAAGTGTTTGTAGATATGTGTCCTGACTCTGGACAGGACAGAGTTAAGGACCTGGAGGTTATTACCTCACATTAGTTCTGGAGGCATGGGGAAAAGAGCCCCTTTCCGGGTCACGTAGCATGGCACAGTCAGGTATTGTTTGGAGTTCCACAGTGGTATAGTGATGAGTACTTGCATGTGAGTCTTTTGCCAGTTGTACACTTTGTTATTAATATTGTTGCTGTTCCTGTTTGTTTTCTTATTTCATTGCTGTTTCCATTAAATTGTTTTTATCTTAATCCATGCTCTTTGCCTTTTGTGCCTCTAATTCTCCTCTCCAGCCGGCTGCAGAGGATGGGGTTGGGAGAGTGTGCAAGCAGCACATGGTTTGGAGTGTTTTGGTGAGAGCATGAAACTGGGGAATACCATTGCTAAACCACTACAGCCTTATTTGGTGCCCAATGTGACACATGAAGGGTTGAGACAGAAACAGATCTGCCCAGAGTAGGTTGGAAACAAATCTGAGCTAAGAACTTCTTGTATTAGGTCCAGAGGCACTGGTCACAATATTGCTTGGTCTGCTCACGTGGTTGTGGTACCTAATCATAAATATTTTTCCATTTATGCACTTTATGCTCCTAGCAGTGTTCTTTTTCAGAGGACGGAGAAGGATCAGGATTACTTTGTTGCTGTACTGTGTGATATCAACTTATGACATGATAACATCAGCAGCAAGGAGGGTCATTTAGTATCTATAATCAGTGTTGCTCTCCTACCCTTATCTCAGGCACGACCTTTGAGAGGCCATTAACAATCATGCTCAGTTGGTGGGGAGAACAGGGGTCAGTGATTTTCCCCAGCTTTTCTGTCTTCAGAACTGTTACAATAGCTTTTGAGAATTTTGAATTTCCTGTGGATGTTAAGGAAAGTATGCTCTTGTTACTATGTTTCCTATGTCTCCTCAGTACAGTCTATATCATGTTTAGAGTCAGTACAGTGAACATCAAGTTTAGAGTCAGGACAGAGTTCAAAGAAGGTCATTCAGAGATCAACCCTGAGGGCAGGTAGTCATGAGTGGTACAGAACATGGGAGAAAATGGGCCAGTTTGGGGGGAAATCGTCTGCTCCAATCATTAGGAAGTTCATCCGTAAGCAGCTATAGGACCCTGATAAAGTGACAGAATATTTGCGAGGAGAATGCTGTAGCAACTCTGTAAAGGAGCAACTTACTGAATTGTGCTGGGCCCTGGCTACTATTTATTGGAACACTACTTGTCACTAGACCAACTCAGCGGGAGAAGGAGGAAAGCAGTCGAACAGGCACTGTGGCCACTCCAAGACCAAATCAGTTTGCTTAGTGAAGTATGAAGAGGTAGCAGGACCCTCAGAATAAGCCAGAGGCAGGGCCAGAGATGAACTGAGTGAACTGCAAGATATGTGAAAAGAATTCAGCTGCAAGTCAGGTGAGTCCCTGATGACCTGGGCTGCTCCAATGGTGGGATATTGCCACTCACGATGAGTGAAATCAGATGGTAGTGAAGCCAAGTAACTGGGACCCCTGTCCCAGGACATGGGCATTGACAAGGAAATTGAGAAGAGGACAGAGACTCTCAGCCTCTGGAGTTGACTCTGTCAAGTCTGAAAGAAAGGTATTCTCACAAAGATGATCTAGTAGTGTGCCCAAGCAGGTGAAATACCATGGAGAAAGGAATCCAGCACCTGAGAGAATTAACTGTGCTGGAGGTAAGTTATAAGGACTCAAATAATGTTCCCTGTACATCCAGTGTACACAATCTATGTGGTGGAAATTTGTATGTAGCATGCCATCATCGCACACCAACTCATTGGCATTGATATCGATGAAGCAAAGAGTACTTTAGGTGGCTACCTGACTCCACAGATATGAATATCAGTATGCCCAGGTGGCCAAGAAGGCCAATGACATCCTGGCCTGGATCAGGAACAGTGTGGCCAACAGGTCCAGGAAAGTGATTCTTCCCCTGTACTCAGCACTGGTGAGGCCACACCTGGAGTACTCTGTCCAGTTCTGGGCCCCTCAGTTCAGGAAGGATATTGAGGTACTGGAGCAGGTCCAGAGAAGAGCAACAAGGTTGGTGAAGGGAGTCAAGCACAAGTCCTGTGAGGAGAGGCTGAGGGAGCTGGGGTTGTTCAGCCTGGAAAAGAGGAGGCTCAGGGGAGACCTCATCACTCTCTACAACTCCCTGAAAGGAGGTTGTAGCCAGGTGGGGGTTGGTCTCTTTTCCCAGGCAACTATCAGCAAGACAAGAGGGCATGGTCTGAAGTTGTGCCAGGGGAGGTTTAGGTTAGATATTAGAAAGAATTTCTTTACAGAGAGCCCATTGGAATGGGCTGTCCAGGGAAGTGGTGGATTCTCCATCCCTGGAGGATTTTAAGATGAGACTGGATGTGGCACTTAGTGCCATGGTCTAGTAACCGCAGCGGTAGTGGATCAAGGGTTGGACTTGATCTCAGAGGTCTTTTCCAACTGGGCTGATTCTATGATTCTAGGATTCTGTGATCATCTCCTTTCCTCCCTAACAACCAGTATCTCAGCTATGGAAAGACTTTCCAAGACTGCAGACAGGTTTGAAAGATTCAAGCAAATTATAGAGGAAATGTTCCATTCCCCACTGGTATAGACCAGAGCCTGCTAAAAGGAGAAGGTTGCACACCACAAGGTGTGTTTTTTCCGGTGCAACAATGGAGATGGCATGAAGAAGTGGGATGGAAAATTCACCTCTGCCCTGGCAACATGATCACAAGAGTTGAAAGGAAGGACAACCACAATTCTTCAAGCATAAATATCTCTTCAGTTTCCAGTGGCAAGTCCTCACACAGAATAGGAGAGCTGATTTTACCTTTGATTCTCTTGAGGGACACTTTGGATTAGTCCTGCCTCAAGCAAAAGTAAACCCATTGTTGGGATTGTTTTTCCTCAAGGACCTGGGTGCACTCGGTGGGTAAAGCAGAGGGACAGGGAAACATGATGTTCTCCTCAAGGGGATTAGATTTTTGGGTGAGAACAGTCTGTAATGTTGAGTTGTATAATATTGTTTGCTGAATGACGCTGCCACTGTATGCCATAACTACCACGGACAATGAGGATGGACTGCTCCAGATACACCAGTTGTGAGCTCCTGATGCAGCTTGCAACCAGCTGACAGCTGCCCTGAAAGACATCTAGGATGGATAGAACCCACAGTCATGGACTAAATTAACTCACAGCCATCTCGGAGGACAGCTATTGACTATGGAAATGACACCTGTTCTTCTGTAATACATATACATATATATGTGTGTGTGTGTGTGTGCATATATATATATATATATATGTATAATTGGAAGTTGAAGTATCTGGGCTTGACAAAGATGGTGTAAAATAAGAGGTGGATAATGTTCTGGTTTCAGTCACAACAGGGTTCATTTTTGCAGTAGCCAGGAGGGGCATGTTCAGAACTATCTCTCATCATTTCCAGGGGTAGGGGAAGGGGTCCCTTTCCAGGTCACATAGTATGGTGTGGTCAAGCTGAGTGGCTTTGTGGTATAGTGGTGAGAGGTTAATCATTTGCCTGTTGTACAATTTGTTATTAATATTGTTGCTGTTCTTGTTTGTTTTCTTATTTCATTGCTGTTTGCAGTAAATTGTTCTTACCTCAGACTGTGATCTTTATCTTTTGTGCCTCCAATTCTCTTCTCTATCCTGCTGCAGGGGAGAGGGAGGAGTACAGGGAAGTGAATGAGTGGCACATGGTTTGGAGTGTTTCATTGAGAGCACAAAATTGGGGAGTACTATTCCTAAAGCTTGACAATATGCGAGTGAAAAAGTACAGTTCCTAAAGGCCAAGATTCAGATGGATGT